ACCAGAGATAGAACAAGGGAGATGGAAACAGATCCTAGCAGATATAAATACTTGGCATATAAATAAAGAAATATAATACCCATGTGCCTAAAACTGGTATTGGTATCTAAGGAAATAATTAAAATAATCTGTATGTTATATCTTCATACCTTTGGATAAAAGAATCATTTTTATAAAAAGCAAAAATTATACAGGAAGATATAATGAATTATACTTCATATGCATTTAAAATTTATATAATAAAAATCTATAAAATGCTTAAAGACAATAAGCTAAAAAAGATATTCTGAATGTTTATTAAACTGTACAAAGTTGGGCAAATTATTTAATCTCTTAATACCTCAATTTCCTCAATGTAAAATGAAGAGTTACTAATTATCCATCTCATAGGGTATCTGTGAAAAACGCATAAAACATGTAGAACAGGGCCCAGCATACACTATGCACTATTAAATGTCTGCTATTACATCCTTGAGAAGAAGTTAACATTCATGATATAAAGATTTCCTACAAATCAATGACAGAGATATGCAGCAAATCAAAAAATGACATGTTATTCAAGAAAGGAATTGGGAACAATCAAGAAAGCAAATGCAGAGATGCACATCTTCACTAGTTTTAAGAAAAATACAGATTTTCATACAAAATGCTAATATCTCAAACCCATCAAATGACAAAAACAATATCTGATAATATCAAGTGTTGACAAGAGTGTAAAGAACAGGGAATTATTTTACCTGCTAATGGATGTATAACATAATGTAACTCTTTTAGAAAGTAATATGTCAGTATCTACTGAAGATAAAATTAGTATTATCCTATGTATCGGTTAGCTATTGCCGCATAACAAAACACTAAAAATCAGTGCCTTAAAACACTAAATGCTTACTGTTGTTTATGAGCTTGCACATCATGTAAGCTAGACATTTGATCATGATCAGGCTCATTCGTATATCTACTTTGTTGATTTTTCTGTCTCACATAATTGGGGGTTTGCTGGAGGTAGTTTTGTCTAGATTGGGGCCAATGGGCTCTTCTCTGTGTGATGTCTTATTTTCCAGATCATTAACCTGAAATTCTTCATGCAACAGTGGCAAAGTTTCAAGTGAGTAAGAACATGTACAGGGAATTTTGAGTCCCAGTCTTGAAAATAGCACATTCTCACTTAAAAAAAATATTTTGCAAAAACAAATCATAAAGCCATTCAAGATTTAGTGGGTGAGAACACAGATTCTATCTGTATTTATGAGGAATAGAAAATTCACAGGAAGGATTGTAGAAAAGGGGACTCTGCCTGTCAGTGGACTACACCTTATAATTCAGCAATTGTCTACCTAGTAGTTACATGCCCTTGAGCAGAGGTCTTCAAACTGGCAGATTCCTTTTCAACATTTTTCAAAGTATAACTCTTCCAATGATTTAAAAGAAATCAATTTTCAGGTACTCAGCTTCAGATATTCTCTTTTACAAACATTTCTGGTCACCAAAAATCTGTTTCTATTTCACAAAGAATGGCCTTCACTATGCATGACACATTCTTACCATCCACCCTGCTTTGCCATGGTGTGTAATATAAGAGAAGTCATTCCAAATGCTACTTCCTGGGAAACCCCTTTGTTGAAAGTTTCATAAAATAGGTCTCTCATATTATATGTATTTCTATTGAGTGAAGCTTGCTTCTGTTCAGATGTTCTGACTTCAAGAAATAAAAAAATTGAGCTATATGTCAGTTAAGCCAGTTTTTTTCAAATGCAGAAATTGAATTTTTATGTCATCAATTTTTCAAGATGTACATGCATTGGATGAAGCCCATCAATAAATGTTCCCACCTGAAAGTCATCTTTCAGATTCACTAAGATAATAATATTCAAATAGAAGTTTAGATGTATTTTAATATTTATATATGGAATATTTATCTCAGTTTAGTTGATTGTCAAGGTGTAGAGAGAACTGAGGAGGTGTCCAGTTTGAATCCCTGCCCTTCTCCCCTTCCTGGGGTTACTTGTGTCCCCTTCACCCCTTCCTCCTCCACCTCACTGTTTCCTCTTATAGCAGCCTCCTTTCATTGCTCATAGAAATTTATTTCTGGTCCCAGTTCTTCCACAAGTGCTTACCTATGCTCATCTTTTCCTCATCAACCACACTTCTACCCCCAGATTTTCCTACTAGGCTCAGCAGAGGATTCTAAAAAATCATGGGTGCATTTTCCTGTCTCATTGGATTCATCTCTATGCATATCTGTTTCTGATATTTGTGACTTCCTCCAGGCTGGGTGTGCCATATTCTCTCTTACCCAGGGACTACATGTTGAAAGCATCAATATACATTTGTAGAAGGGATGGGTTTATGAGTAAATAAACTCATGAATCATGGGTAGTCTGATGTGAGGAGGTTCCATTCATCTCCTGTTGCAGCAACCTGGGATGTTATAAATGCTCCCCCATCTCCTCTATGTATTGGATTACAAGATTAAATTTATATTCCACTGTGGCCAAGTGACAAACTAATCAATCACATCCATATCTATGATAGCTAAGAAATAATTTTTTCCCCCATAGGCCATTATACAACTTCCCCTGTATAGAAAATAATGTATTTAGCCAAGAATGGCTCTTTCTGTATTTGGGATAATAAGACTAAGTTGATAATGAACTTTGCCTTCTTAAGAGATAGTAAAGTGTAATAAAATATAAACGAATAAATAAAATTTTAATACGATATATCCTATTAAGAACAATAATGCTAAGGGCTCTTTTTGGTTCTATTATTTCCTCATATTCTTGCATAGATAATGTGAGCACATCAGTTAAGGAAGAAGTTCGGAAACATGACATCAAAAGTATAAACTTTAAAAGAAAATAGTGAATGAATTGAAACTCATCAAAATTAAAACCTTTTCCATGGCAAAGGACATCACTGAATAAACAGAAAAGCCACAAACTGGGAGAAAAGATTTGTGAGACATATTTCTCATAAAATAGTTTTATCAAGAAAATATAAATAACTGCTATAATTCACTAAGAAGGAAATAACTCATTTTTTAATTGTGCAAAAATATTTGAATAGACATTTCACCAAAGAAGAATGTACATTAGAAGATGTTTACTATCATTAGTTGTTAGGCATTAGCTAAATGCAAATTAAAACTACAATGAATACTATTTTCTAGCCATCAACGTGACTATAACCAAAAAGATATTAACAAGTGTTTGCTAGGGATTGGAGTAGTTTAAATAAAGACCCTTCATATACTGGTGGTGAGAATGCTGAGTGGTGCAGCTGTTTTAGAAAAGTGTCAGCTTCTTGAAACAATTAGACATAAACTTCCCGTATGAAACAACAATTATACCACTTGGTATTTATGCAAGATAAATGAAAACATATTTATGCAAAAAAAGATACACAAATAAATGTTCACAGCAGCATTATCTGTAATAATCAAGTGGAAACAGCCCCAAAGTCAATCAGCACATAAATGGATTAAAAAATTGTTATGCTTATACAATGAAAATAGTCATAAAAAGGAAAGAAGTACTGATGCATGCTACAAGAGGGATGGACTTTTAAACAATATATTAAGTAAAAGAAGCCAGACACAAAAGATCATATATTATATGAGTTCATTTATATAAAATGCCATGAAATGGTAAATCTCATAAAGACAGAAGATAAATTAGCAAGGCTGTCACACCCACCCACCCACACACTCAGACCTGGTTATTAAAGGGTGTTGAGCCTCATGAGATCAACGGTAGTTAACCTTTGTTTGATGTATGAAAACAGCAATAGCAAATCTTGGTTTCAAAACATGTTTTAGCTTTTCTGAGTTATATGGAACTAAAGAATGTTTATAATATATACATGTTGCAGATGACAGTGTTTGTCTTCTATGCTAATCCACTTGTCCTAGCACTCTAGGAATTCAAAGACCATTTTAATTGCCTGACACAATTCAGTTATTGGTAATTGGTCATGTATACACAGACTGCATCTGTCTATCAAAAGAAGGCAATTCAGTCAATTTACTAAATAATTCAGGCAAAATTGAATGCTTTAGTCTCATATATCTGGAAACTATAAAAACCAAAGTATACAAGGGATATAAGGGAAGTTAATTTTTTTGGTATGGTTAAGGACTCCTTCCTGCGTTTTTCCTATATTAAAATCTCTGTGCAGATTTTATTGAGGTAATTAGCATAGGTAATTTCTATATTTTTTAACAAACTCAAGTAACAACTTTCAAATAATATTGAATACGTATTTCAAACAAAGAGAACATGACCTAAAATATTTTGCCTTTACTTAAATACTTATCACAAGTAGTAGATTTTTAAAAGTAGAAAGCAAGACTAAATAATGAGTGTTGGTCCTCTTACCACTGATTAAAGGTGAATCTTAGTGGTTTAAGTTAGTGACAATTATTTTTTTTGTAATTGTGTTTTTGTAAGGTTTTAATGCATGAAACTAATGTTGATTTTATGATATTTTGATGGAAATCTTTCCATTTTTATTATGTATGTTTCAGCTTACATCATGCAATTTTCTAACTATAGTGTATCCGTGACATTTCAACAATTTATTTAGATGATAACATGTTAAAACCAGAGGACCATTGAATACTTCATATGCATTTCTTTAAGAATGTGGGAAATCTCTTTTCTAATAATTTAATTTTCTCTTTTTTTAAAGCAATTCACTATAGCATTTTTTTTTGGAATAGTATCATTTTAACCCCCAAACTGCATTTTCACAGAATATCTAATATTTTTTGCAAGTAACATTTTGAATTTGTTCTTCTTGACATCTTTATGTTTATATGCATTTTGCATCGCCCTATTTCATTTTTTTGAAATTCAAATGTAACAGATTTTAACTTTTTGTGTTACATTATTTTTTTTTCTTTTACTGGGTAGCATCTCTCTCTTTTCTGAATTTTTTGCAAACCTGTTGTTTTTGAATTCTCTTTTTTCCCTTTATTTTCCTTCTCAATATGACCCCAGGAGCCAACACAAAGAAAAACGCAGATGATATAACCAGTAATGACCGTGGTGAAGATGAAGGTATTTTTTGTTTTTTCAAAGCTCAACCCTGATGCATGATTTTATATCTATCTATCTCTTTATTTTTTTCATTTCAATCTGTTTTTCCTCGCCTTATTTGAAGCTAGTACACTTTGGTGTGCTTCTTTATTTATTTTCTTCTTGTATGGAAACCACTGTCATTTTTAAAACCAATTATCACGTAGAGAACTGAAAATCACTGTGAGAAGAAGTATAAACATTATTTCTAGACATGAAATGAGTAACAAAATTTTATTCACAAAGAAGCCCACTTCCTCCCTTTTCTTTTTTCTTTTTTTAAACTTGGTCTCAATAAGAGGAAATAAAAATTTAAAACATGCATGTATACTTTGTTTTCTTCCCTTAAAATGTTATTTTGTAAGTTAATATTATATTTTGGAGCTTTGATCTTCTTAATTGTTTCCATAAACTGCAAAATTCTGCAACACCTCAGTAAAACTATGAAGGGGCTGGAATTTCAGTTCTGTGGTTTTTTTTTGTTTTGTTTGTTTGTTTTTCTTGGCAAACATATTGATTCTAAAATAGGTTTTGAAGACTCTGCTCACAGTGAAGTACATCAAAAAGTATTTTAACAAGATGCTGTTGTTTCTTTCAGGACTGCCTTTTAACAGCATTTAAAGAAAAAAAATATAAGGGTATCTTAGAATTGAAAAGGAACAAAAAGCTAGCTGTGTGCATCTTTCTTTTTACACCATGGCTATTTTGAAAACATTTTTTTCTCACCAAAATGTTTTGTTACTGTGAGAACTTTTTCTGAAGGCTCCCAAATTGCTCAATAGATAACTCAACCTTGGGTGAAATGGTTTTTTTTAATGGAAAGAATGAGCTAGCCAGGCAGACATCTAACACACTATATTCTGTCCCTTTTTGTGGAATAAATGGTTTTAAAACTAAAAGAAACCTAAAAGTACTAAAACAAATCTTTACTCACTGAGAAGGTTCCATAGTATGGGTAAAAGTGCATTTTTTTCTCATCTGGGTAGCAAAATGCATGGAACTCTATTTTTTTTTTTTTTTTTAAGATATGGCCCTTGAGAAATCTTTGGATCTCTGTCTAAAAGCAACTTAAAGCCCAGCAGTGAGTGGCGAATTATCCTTGCTGGTCAACCCATCTTCCTCAAAAACATTTTTTTGACCGGTCACTTGTTGTTGCTGCCCTCTTTGCTTCTCTTCATAAATCGACTGCTCTCCAAGTACATTACTTTCATGCCTGGTCTTTTCCTAATATTGTTGTTATTATTACTGAGCTCTAAGCTCATACACCTGTCATTGTCTCAAATAGCTCTCTAACAGATCTCATTGATGGCATTCAAAGATTAAAATCAATATTTGCCTCAAGCAGCCTCTTCTTTAATAAGGACTTCAGAACACCTTGTATTTTGTCAGTGTTCATAGAAATAAATAAATAAAAATAAAACACACCTTTTTTTCTCTTGTACCTTCTACTACTATATTTTGCTCAACTTTCGATTTTTAATATATTTCCTTTTTAATAATTAGGGTCTGGTTCCTAAATGCTCCCAATAAGTTGTTATTACTGTTAAAATACTATCTAATTTTCATTTAATATTGATAAACAGGAATTCTTTTTTAACTTGGAATTATTACATGTGGTTATTACTTCAACAGGTTCAAGATAATTGTGTTATATGTTTCATGAAAAGGTAGGAGATGTTAATCTAGCATATTTTCTGAGGGAACACATTACAGCAGCCTTTAAAAGTTTGTACGTATTATTTTTTCCACAATTTAGTAGTCAACAGCCAGTCATGCAAAAAAGCAAATCAGAAACCAGAAAGAGGCAGTGGAACACGAGGAATGTCTTTTCTTATTCACATAGCAGCTTATTTAAAAAATTCTGTGTAATGTATATTGGATAAATGATTACTAGATAATTTTTACTTTATATTTTACATGGGAAAATAAAAGACAGTCTTCTGCCATGTATTAAATATCTACAATCCTTGGGAAACTTGACACTCTTTTGTGTACTTTACTGTGACCAGTGGGCTGCTCATGCCTCCTGTATGCACCCAATGAAATTGTGATCATAATTTATTCTAAATGGAGCCACCATCCAAATGATGGTAGTTTATTTCCTCAAAATCCCTTTCTAATATTCCAAAAGTGTCCTCATGAAGTAGAAAAGAAAAAGAAAAAGCTTTATTGGAGAAAAACGTGAAAATAAATATGCACAAGCACGTGGATTTTCTTTTGATATTTATACACAAACACATATCTATATTCAGAAGTATTTACAGATGAGGTCAGTCTTCCTAAAAATTAAATATAAACCTAATGACTGATTAATGTTAAACAGATTATTTAATCATAACTTTTGAGAAAGCAGGCTTTACAGATGGTCTCTGAATTTCTTCATCACAGATCATTGTTTTTACATCATTCCTAATTACAATAATAAAGTAATTACTAGGAGTATTCATTGATTGCAAGTCACAATGGAAATTTATATTTTCTGTGAAAATATAAAGCATTTAAATAATTTTGTCTTGAGTTCAAATTCTTTTGCCATTTTTATGACATCTTTTTCATTTTTGTTACTTAAAAATGTTGGGGTATTATTGCAATCAATAAAGTAAAGATACTTGGACAATTTTTATTTTTTCCCACTTTTTCTGTTGATGATTTCTAACCATATATTAGTTTTTTGTCATCTTTTTTTCTGTTGAACGTTTATAGTTTCATTACTACTTTTATGTTTTTATTGTTAAATTGAAGATGAATCTGTACACTCACCTGCAAATTAAAAAGATATTTATATTAAAATTATAAATTTGAAGTTGGTTTTACATGTAATTAGTGACAATATATTTTCTCAAGGATGCTATGTGCTTTGTCAATTCAAATCACATTTTAGAATTTGAGCAGAACTTAGGAAATCGATACTTTACCTTAAAACACTTATTTTACTGCATTTGATATATACAGAAGCTTATATGAGCATATTACTCCAAATGTTCTTTAGTGTCTCCAAATATCACTTCCATGGATAGAAAATGTAATAGCATTGATCATTTTCCTTAGGCACTCTTATTAAGGCATATGTCATTCATAAAAATAAATGTGATTAATTGAAGTCAAAACTAGGAAGATTTATGAACCTCCTTTGTCCTGTATTTGGTATCAGTGAGTCAGTGTGATTCTTTATTGTGTTTCCTTACTTGGCTTTTTTTCCCAGATATTCATGATCAGAACAGTAAGAAGCCAGTTATGGTCTATATCCACGGTGGATCTTATATGGAGGGCACTGGGAACATGATTGATGGCAGCATTTTGGCGAGCTATGGGAACGTTATTGTGATCACCATTAACTACCGTCTGGGAATATTAGGTAAGTGATTTTGTCCTGCAAGTGAATGAGCAAGAGGCAATATGGAAGGTCTGCTATTTATTTTGATGAGGCTTGTGGATATGGATCATGTTATTCCAATGCCTGGCTGATTCTACTTTACACTATTTACTTTATCTGATTGGATATACTTCTTCCATTTTTACTACATTCGTGCAACATGGTAATTTTGCTGTTTTTCTTTTTTAGCTTGCAGATTTTAATCCAATAATTTCATTTTATTGAATCTGAATCCCTCCGCAAACTAATGCAGACTTCACAGTCATTGAGATAAAATGAAACTTTGTTTAAAGCATGTTTCTTCCTTGGAGCTAAATGAATAAATGTTCATCTACATAGACCTATATATTGAAACCATATTTGGTAATATCATAACCATTTGGTAATAGCCATAGATAACAGTATTTTCTGATTGTGTAGTAGGATAAATCAGTATATATAGAAAAAAAATTTCATCCAGTTCTTGAATTGATTATATGTATGTTGAGCATTGAAGATCTGCCATGTTGATCCCATTACATCTGCATTCAAGGATACTTAACTGTTATTGAACTTTTGTTCCATTTTATAATTTGTGATTCAAGGACATTGGCTAAGTGCATGGAAATTCAATCTTAGTTCCCCATTCTTTAGGTGTCTCACTCATTTTCCTCTTACTGTGAGTTGGGAAATTACAAATTTGGGGGTAAGATTTCAAGATTTACCTTTTTAGGTAGTGTTGCCTATTGTTATTTAGTTCATGAATAATGTTCCTAGACCTATGTAAACACATTTGTTTTCAAGGCAAAATGCATTAAAAGGGTGCAGAAAATGAAGTTTTTAATAAGGCAGCCATGATAGTGATGTGTATTTTGGTTATTGTGTTGTTATGGTACAATGTAAAATACAAGATAGCATCTACTAATGGAGCTCTGTCAGACAAGAAATGCAACTGAAACAGTTTTCTTCAAATAGGTAAATATACCAGGAATATTTTATTTTCAGTGAAATGTTTTAATTTCATTTTGAATGATTTCTTTTCCTTCCTATGTGAAAACATTAACTTACAAAACACCAAGAGGTGGTGAAGCGAGAAATGTATTTCTAACTTAGAAATGCAAATTACCCACAGGTGTTCCTGAATTTCTGACTTTTGAGGCACTGATAAAGTGCTCAAAATTCCAGGTTGGTCTTTGTATTACAGAAAAGAAACTAAAAAACAAAACAAAAGAAAACAATTTTTAAAACCTATTAGTGTCAATAACCTAAGTATTCTGTGGTTTTCTTTCTATTTTATTTTCTTGCAGTTTTTGTTATAAGCCAGATCTCTGGAAAATAATTTTTAACTGTTGCATAGTGATGATTGCATGCTTCTCTGAATATTTTCCAGATGCGTCTGGCTAGTTGCTTTGGCTACTCCTGTTGGAAACAGGAAATAGTGTTTCTTGATGTTTTACAAAAGGTCCATTCTAACAAAGAGGTGGAAAGAGGAAACTATGTGTGAGGGCACTGCACAGGGGCTCTTCAAAGGGAGCAGTGTGTGCCTGCCTGTCGTATGGCCACAGGAAAGAAAGCTTTGGGCACCCTCTTCTGAATGAAGTAATGGGTATTGAACAAGGTCTTGCTTTGGTAGGATCACAAAACATTCTGTTGCACGCAGAATGGGTTCATGTTTCTGATAAGATTGGGTTTCAAAAGAAAATGATTTCCTTTTTCCCCCTAAAGCTGAATTGCATCAAGCAACTCTACACTGTAATTTTTAAGAATCAGTTTTGTCCCTTTATGAATGAAGTGCAGATCTCTCAACATAGTGAGGGGATTATACACACCTTATCATTTTTTAAGAAAAGAGAAAAATAATACTCATTGGAAATGTTAAGTCTACTTTTTGCTATGAAGAGTTAAAACTAATAAGATAACACAGAGCTTTAAAAATGATGAGGAGGAAATAAAAGAAGCAACTTAGCATCTCTATGTGTATCTATTTACATTCCTCCAATGAGCTACTGTGGAAAAGCCAAGCATACTACAGACCCCCTTTCATCTGATGGCGTGCAGAGTGCCAAGTTGGCTTATTATAAAGGAAGATAGAGACTTTCAAATGTGCCTTCGTTGATTTTTATCATGGATTTCACATTTACTATTGCCCTCTTGAAAATGGTTAGGGGTTAGGCGGCATTTACTTTTTGCTTGCATGAAACTACTATTATTGGTCTTGAAAAAATATTTTTAAACCTTTGGCATCTAGATATTTTAAAAGATGTTCAAATAAAATAGCACAGTGTGCGCTATGATAATCACTTGAGTGCTTTTCATCCAAACACATAAGTTTTTCAGCAAAAAGTTTAAAGAGTTTGAATTTATTTTTACAGTAAAATTCATAAATGCATGAATGCTATTTTCCTACCTAAGTAATGGGAAAAAATTCCTTAAGATTATTTTTATTTTTTTGAAGCAATAAATGCTGTTTTCTTATCCAAAAGAGAGGGTTATAAAATGAAATATGCTAAAAATGGAAGTGGAATGCTGGCATTGGATGGAACATAGATGGTAGAATGAGGCAAACATGAGCTAGGATCTTCCCTCTCTCTAGCTCCGTGTTTTTGGCATGACATTGAGAAAGTCAACTAAATTTTTCTGAGACTTGTCCTTTAGGTGTAGAAGGCAGTGGCATTATCTCCCTTGCGAGGTAAATTATACTATTGTAAAGTTTCAGTCGTTTGAAACACCACACTGTATCCCATAATTATAAGTTAAGTACAAATAAAATGTTTTTTTTAAAAAGGTTTAATGGATTTGTATAGGTGAGATTTTTTTAGCCCCTGAGTAGCAAGCAGTATGCTCAGTCACATTATAATTTCCACTGTCATTGAACATCATACTAATACTACTGTTGCTTCACAGGAAGAATTGAGACTTGTTCAATCTGTAAAGACTAATATCTGTTAAATATTGGAGTCCAAATGGAGTCACCTGAATTTTAAAAATCATTATAAGATATTTCTATACATTAATTAAATCAGTCATCATTCTTGCTTTTTGAAGTATGAATATGTTTTATTTTTTAATCAGAACGGTGCAACACAATATTGCCAGTCATTAATCATATAACTTGTTGTCTAATCCAAGACTTGTCTGGGAGTTGTCCATATGCTATGAATAAACTGAAGTTGTCCCAAGAAAATTGGAATGTGTCATCATAACTATAAAGTACTTATTTATACATACAGGAAGTGTCTTATGAATGAACTGGTGTTCAGTTTATTCTTAAAGAAGCTGCTCTTCTATCAATATATATCTTATTTATTCTGCTGCATACCTTTGTAATTAGGAGGGCAAATATTTCCAAGACTTTGAAAAATATGAAGTTCAATTCTCTTAAGTCAGTCATCATTAGGGTATACAGTGTTCTTAGTGCTGAGGAGAAGCCAACAAAAACTTTGCTGAGCTGGACAGGCTAAAGCATTTGCCTAGTCTCATCTAGCAGTCTAAGCACCCACTCCCTCTCACCTATTCACCTCACAACTTTCATGTGCATCACTTACTCCTAAGAAAAGTAGTCATGAATCTAGGTTATAAAACTTTCAGAACAATCCCCTCAACAGTGAAACCGCAGAAGTCAAATCTGTGAATTCCCATAGGGCTATTATTGCATTAACACTTTATTCACGATCTCAGCCCCTTCCTTTATAGCAGTGGTCCCCAACCTTTTTGGCATCAGGGACCTCTTTCATGGAAGACAATTTTTGCACGGACCAGGGCAGGGGAGATGTTTCTGAGATTATATTATATATAATCACTATTAAAATAGATGTGTGGACAGAAGTGGCAAATAAAATAATGGGAGTGCCACATATGGACTAGAATAAGTGTTAGATTCTGATTTAAAGCCTGCCACTAGATGCAGTTATACAACTGAAGTATATCAACTCACTTGCCACTCACTTGCCCCTCAAGTTTAGATAGGAGTCTGAAAGCAATTGATTTAATATGGTCTCTGTGCAGTCATACCTCACTGCTATTATTAACCTGTATTTACAGCCACTCCTCAGCACTAGCATCACTGCCTCAGCTCCATCTCAGATCATCAGGTATTAGATTCCCATAAGAAGCATGCAACCTAGATCCTTTGCATGTGCAGTTCACATTAGGGTTTGCACTCTTAGGATAATTTAATACTGCTGCTGATCTGACAGGAGGTGGAGCTCAGGGGATAATGAGAGCAATGAGGAGTGGCTGTAAATACAGATGAAGCTTCACTTGCCTGCCGCATACCTCCTGGTGTGCCGCCTGGTTCCTCACAGGCTGATCTGTGACCTTGGGGTTGAGGATCCCTACTTTATAGGGTAATATATAACTTGAGTTCTTTCAAATTTTTGGGAAGGAGTTGGGGTCTCACTCTGTTGCCCAAGCTGGAGTGCAGTGGCATGATCATGAAGATCATGGCTCATGGTAGCCTCTAGTACCTTGGCTCAGAGGATCCTTCCGTTTTCCACCTCAGCATCCTAAGAAGCTAGGATTAGAGGCATGCGTCACCATGCCCGGCTATTTTTTTTTTTTTTTTTGTAGTGACGAGATTTTTCTATATCTATGTTGCCCACGCTCGTCTTGAACTCCGAGGCTCAAGTAATTCGACCATTCAAGCCTCCCAAAGTTCTGGGATTGCAGGTTGAGACACTGCACCCAGCCTTTTTTTTTTTCAGGTTCAGGATAGTTCAAAAGTATTCAGTGTAAAACAGAATTTACCTAATAGAAATATCTGAAACTTATTTATGGCTTTTCATTTCCCTCATCCCAGTTAATTGCCTCCAAGTTGCATGCCTTTATATTTTCAGTTTTTTTAGTCTACCTCAATTCAAATATTCACTTCAGTTTAGCTCACGTGGTATTATTACCTTTTTGGTCACCCTACGATTTGATGTTTGGTGTACACTGAACTTTATTGTTGCTTCAAAGCAATCTTAACTATAACCCTTTAGCATCAGTTCATTGAGAGCCTGCAG